ACCCTCCCATACTGTGATACTGATTCACATGTATCCAGTTTCCCATACATAAATACATTGTACACAGACATCCACTCTCTCATACTGTGATACTTGATATAAAGACATCTTCCCTCCCATACATTAATACCTGGTATACAAACATCTACCCTCCCATACAGTAAGACTGTGTTCACAGACATCTTCCCTCCTGTATAGTGATACCAGCTACACAGACACCCACCCTCCCATACAGTGATGCTCGGTACACATACATCTACCCTACCATACAGTGATACTGGGCACATAGACATCAAGCCTCCCATGCAGTGATACCGGTCACACAGACATCTACTCTTCCATATAGTGATACCAGGTACACAGACATTTGCCCTGTCATATAGTGAAACTGTGTACACAGACATCCACTCTCCCGTATAGTGATACCAGGTACACAAACATCCATACTCCCAAACAGTTATACCAGGAGCACAGACATCCACCCTCCCATACAGTGATGCTCGGTACACAGACATCTACTCTCACATATCGTGATGATGGTACACAGACATCCACCCTCTTATACAGTGATACTGGTTACATAGACATCAAGACTCCCATGCAGTGATGCCGGTCACACAGACATCTACCCTCCAATACAGTGATACTGGGTACACAGACATCCACCCTTCCATACAGTAATACCAGGTGCACAGACATCTACCCTCGGATACAAAAATACATTGTACACAGACATCCACTCTCTCATACATTGATACCTGGTATACAAACATCTACCCTCTCACACAGTGATACCTGGTATACAAACATCTACCCTCCCATACAGTGATCCTGGGTACACATACATCAAGTCTCCCATGCAGTGATACTGGGTACACAGACATCTTCAGTTCCATACAGTGATACCAGCTACAAAGACACCCACCCTCCCATACAGTGATACTCTGTACACAGACATCTACCCTCCCATACAGTGATACTGGGTACTGTACACAGTCATCCGCGCTCCCATACAGTGATACCAAATACACAAACAACCCCCCTCCAATACAGTGATATTGGTACACAGACATCTACCCTCCCATACAGGAATACCCTGAACAAAGACAGCTACCCTCCGATACAGTGATCCTGGGCACACAGACATCCACCCTCCAAAACAGTGATATTGGTACACATACATCCATCCTCCCATACAGTGATACCAGGTACACAGACATCTACCCTCCGATACGGTGGTACCAGGTTAACAGACATCTACCCTCCCATCGGTGATACCGGGAACACAGACGTCTACCCTCTCATACAGTGATACTGGGTACTGTACACAGACATCTATCCTCCCAAACAGTGATACCAGGTACACAGACATCAGCTCTACCCTACAGTGATACCAGGTACACAGACAACCACCCTCCAATACAGTGATACCGGGAACACAGACGTCTACCCTCCCATACAGTGGTACTGGGTACTGTACACAGACATCTACCCTCCCAAACAGTGATACCAGGTTAACAGACAACCACCCTCCAATACAGTGATACTGGTTCACAGGTAACCATCCTCCAATACAGTGATATTGGTACACAGACATCTGCCCTCCCATACAGGAATACCCGGAACAAAGACAGCTACCCTCCAATACAGTGATACTGGTTCACAAGTATCCAGTTTCCCATACATAAATACATTGTACACAGACATCCACTCTCCCATACAGTGATACTTGTTATACAGACATCTTCCCTCCCATACATTGATACTGTGTACACAAACATCTACCCTCCCATACAGTGATACTGTGTACACAGACATCTTCTCTCCTGTATAGTGATACCAGCTACACAGACAGCCACCCTCCCATACAGTGATACCAGGTACATAGACATGTACACTCTTATACAGCGGTACCAGGTACACAGACATCTACCCTCCCATACAGTGATACTGGGTACATAGACATCAAGCCTCCCATGCAGTGATACACTGTACCGGTCACACAGACATCTATTCTTCCATATAGTGATACCATGTACACAGACATTTGCCCTCCCATATAGTGATACTGTGTACACAGACATCCACTCTCCCGTATAGTGATACCAGGTACACAGACAACCACCCTCCAATACTGTGATATTGGTACACAGACATCTACCCTCCCACACAGTGATACTGGGTACTGTCCACAGACATCCGCACTCCCATACAGTGATACCAGGTACACAGACAACCCCCCTCCAATACTGTGATATTGGTACACCGACATCTACCCTCCCACACAGTGATACTGGGTACTGTCCACAGACATCCGCACTCCCATACAGTGATACTGGGTACTGTACACAGACATCCGCACTCCCATGCAGTGATACTGGATACACAGACATCTACCCTCCCATACAGTGATACTCTGTACACAGACATCTACTCTCACACATAGTGATGATGGTACACAGACATCAACCCTCCCATACAGTGATACTGGGTACTGTACACAGACATCTGCATTCCCATACTGTGCTACCAGGTACACAGACATCAACCCGCTTATACAGTGATACCAGGTACACAGACATCTACCCTCCCACACAGTGATACTGGGCACACAGACATCCACACTCCCATACAGTGATACCAGGTACACAGACATCGTCCCCCCCATACAGTGATACCAGGTTAACAGACATCCACCCTCCCATACAGTGATACTGGGTACACAGACATCTACCCTCCCATACAGTGATACTGGGTACTGTACACAGACATCCGCACTCCCATACAGTGATACCAGGTACACAGACATCTGCACTCCCATACAGTGATACCGGTACACAGACAACCACACTCCGATACAGTGATACTTGGTACACAGAAATCCGACCTCCAATACAGTGATATTGGTACACAGACATCCACCCTCCCATATGGTGATACAGGGTACACAAATATATACCCTCCGATACAGTGATACCAGGTACACAGACATCCGTCCTCCCATACAGTGATACAAGGTACAGAGACATCCGTCCTCCCATACAGTGATACTGGGTACACAGACATCAACCCTCCCATACAGTGATTCAGAGTACATAGACATATACCCTCCCATACAGTGATACAAGGTACAGAGACATCTACACTCCCATAAAGTGATACCAGGTACAAATACACAAACAACCACCCTCCAATACAGTGATATTGGTACACAGACATCAACCCTCCCATATATTGGTTCCGGGTACACAGACATCCACACTCCCATACAGTGATACTGGGTACACAGACATCTACCCTCCCATATATTGGTTCCGGGTACACAGACATCTACCATCCAATACAGTAATACAGGGTACACAGACATCCACCCTCTCATACAGTGATACTGAGTAAACAGACATCCACCCTCACATACAGTGATACTGAGTAAACAGACATCCACCCTTCCATACTGTGATACCAGGTACACAGACATCCACCCTTCCATACAGTGGTAGCGTGTACACAGACATCCACCCTCCCGAACAGTGATTTACTGGGTACACATACATCTACTCTCACATACAGTGATACAAGGTACAGAGACATCTACACTCCCATAAAGTGATACCAGGTACACAGACATCCACACTTCCCTACAGTGACAAAATGGTGACAGATATCTTTCCCCAAATACGTCCTCCTACTCTGTTACATTAATTGATAATAAAGACTATTTATTCGGGTAAAAGGCAAGCATTACACTTATATCACTTATATTGGCAATCGGACATAGATATATGTTACCACAAATGATTTTTATAAATTACTTACAATGACTTAGTTAAGTATGTATAGTAGCAAATATCTAGTGAAAATGGTTGTTTTGTTTTTGTTGTTTTTTTAAATCAGTAAACATTTATTTCAGGTACCGTTTCTTGGTTTGTGTGCATTAAATAGATTTGAAAACCGCCTTTGATTCTTTTACAAATCGAAATCATATTTTAACCGAAGCAATTAAATGTGTATTTATATTGGTAAGGTTTTTCTAGTACAAAACGACTTACAAAATCCGGACCGGATGAAACTCCGGCCGTACGTGCCGTAATTTAGAACCGTATCCCCCTTTGTGACGAGTAGAGGCGTGGCGACGAAGGAGAGAACGGTACCGACGTTTCTGTCAAATTTTGTGGCTAATGCGAGGATAGAACAGTAAGTCACCATTTGTGTACGGACGATTAGACAAAATGACATGACAGCAAGTCTTTACAAACGAGTCGTGACATATAGTTTTTAAAAGAAAATGTATTACTCACAAGTGACTGCATGACGATGTCAGAAGTCGCGCGCTATGACATCAGAATTACCTGATGTATACATTATCTATTGTAGCAATAAAAAAGAAACACTGCATTTTAATTTAGTAATTTTACAGTCACGCTTATCACAAGCAGATTCAAATTGAGTCAAAAACAGTTATTGAAACATTAACAATTTCAATTGACTTCCTGTGTCCTTCCATCCGCGCCAAAAAACATTAATACTATCAATTGAAGGAAACCTGTTAAAAGGTTGTTGTAAAATTTTATGTATCCAATGATATTACACAAAAGGGGCTATTGACGTTCTGTTATGTAATTTAATTACATCATTAACATGTTGGAACGAAAACAGTAATGTATCATTCTCATTTATATACACGACATCAAGTTAAATAGATCCGTACTGATGGAAAATGTGGTTCCTAAGTGTTGTAATATACGTACAGTTTATTTATTCAAAGATATCAGAACAAAGGCGATAACAGCGTTCCCTTCTGCTAAAGCTTTACTCTTTTCTGTATCAATTAGATCATTTTCATGAAACGAAAACAATTGTTTCACTCTTGTAAGTGTGCAGCAAGTAGTCAAGTTTAAGAAATTAGTAAGGATTCCGTCATGAAATAGACAAGGTGGTTTATTCTACCAGGTATTGATTTTGTACAATTTTTCTCAAGGTACAAAGACACGTCGGTTAACATGGCGGAGGGTAGGCTGGGCCACGAACATTCGTCGGTAGATGGCGCCGTGCATCAGTCCCTGGACTCCCACTTATTGGAATGTCCTATCTGCCTGGAGCAGCTACGACAACCAAAGTCACTTGCCTACATTCGTTTTGTCTTGAATGCCTGGGTAGCTACATCACTAAGGAGTTGTCAGGTAAGATGACGTCAGCATCTTCTTTCTCCTGTCCTGTGTGCCGGAAGGTCACTGAGCCAGTAAACCAATCAGAAGGTAAAGAGAGTTGGGCCGAGCAATTCCCTACCAACAATCTGGCAGTCGAAATACTCCAGCAATTACAAAAGACGGATAAGTCGATCACGTGCATACCATGCGAGACTAAAGGAAATAAGAATGTCCCGGCGAAGTTTTGGTGTAAACATAACAACACTTATTTCTGTACAGACTGCAAAATTAACGTTCATGATTTACTTCATGGAGAATGTGAACCGCAAGACATTTCTAATGTAAACGTGTCGGCTATACTACAACAGAAGGCCTCAATCACTGGATGTGGGAAACACAAGGAGAAGATGGAATATTACTGTGAAGATCATCAAATTATGGGATGCAACAAATGCATCATTGTCGATCACCGGAGGTGTGAAGTGGTGACGTCAGCAGAGGATTTCCGGGACAAGTTGAGGAAAAGCTCACAAATCGACGATCTGCTGGAGGAACTTCGGAAAAGCGCAGAGGCCATGGAGATACTGATCAAAGATGTTGGGGAGCAACTGAAAACCATGACACTAGATCAGGACACTGTGTTGCAAAGTTTGACCGACATACGCAAAAAGATCGACGAGCGATTCGATGTTCTACAGAAAGATCTCACAGACAACTGATATCAGCCTTCAAAGAAGAAAAAGAAAACCTGGAGATATCGAGACAGAAATGTGAACGGCTGATGTTCTCTATACAGAACACGCTGACGTCATCCGAGGATGCAGCCTTGAAGGACAACACTGTGGGGACGATTTGTTTGTTCCAGAGAGGACATGCGGAGATCGAGTCCTGTAAGGAACTCATTAAGGAGTTGGAGAGGTCGTCTAGATCTACCAATATCAAACATGAATATGATCCGGACATACTCTCCGTCGGCAACAGCACCAGCCTTACGATGGGGAAATTAGTCGTCGATCAGCAACCAAGGAGACTGCCATCTACTGTGTATAGTAACATAGTACCATTGTCGGAACGTCAGTTAAAGATGACTGGAAAGTTCACTATTAAAGCTCCTTCAGACAAAAAAGACTGTAGTGCGTTTGGAGTTGTCTTCCTACCTGGTGGTCGTATTGTTGTCGGAGACGATTCAAATAGAGAGATGAAACTATTTACAGAAAAGGGTGATTTTAAATTTGAGCTGAAACTTACGGATGCATCCTGTGATCTTTGCAGCATTGATAACAACACTGTGGCAGTGACGCTGGACGAGGTCAAAATAATATGTATTGTCAATGTCGGGGATTCAACCTTGACCGTTTCATCGAAAATCAAGATTCCAAAGCTTGATGAAGACTGTTTTGGTGTCACATACCACAACGACTATTTCACTGTCGGTACAAACAAATCACTTTATAGTGTACCAGAAAGCGGAGGTGAACCTAAAAAACTTCTCACAATAAGATCAAATTGTTTACACCTCGCAAGCAATCAGAAGAATGGACACGTCTTTGCTAGCATCAATACCACTAACCCAAACGAGATGACCGTGATCCGACTGTCGAACGACACCAGCACAGACATACTGAAGGTCGGGGTCGTGAAAGGTACAACAGGAATAGACGTGGACAGGCAGGGCAATTTGTATGTTTGTGGATATAGTTCAAACAACGTCTTACAGATGTCTGGGGATGGAAGAAACATCAGGGAACTGCTGACGTCATCAGATGGAATCGAACATCCGAGAGCAATTTCTGTGTGGGAGGATAGGATGGTGATCACAAACGAATCAGAAGACCAAATTAATTTTGTACACTTGTTCCAGCTCGTCTGAGTGGTAGGTAATCCCGATAAAGTATAGACCGGTGATATATATGATAAAGGAACTGGTCGTATTTGGACGGATTATGTTAATCACTTCAGGACCAAACTCCATACAAGAAAACTTGACCCACATAGCAAGCCATATAATATGGATGTTAATATGGATGTTTAAGTTGTAGGGTTTATGTTTACGTTATCCTACGATCCTTCCACTAACTTATCATGTCTTGCCATGTGTTATGTAAGGTCAACATGGTTTTGTGAAACAAACCCGAGTCAAATATTGTAAGAAGAACTCGGCGCTATGTACCAGACATCTCCACCTGCACGTTTGATAAAAGATACATATGAATACCATGATAGAGGATCTGTGTAACACTATTACCATGTCATTGCGAATAGGGAAACATTTCCATCAGTGGTTGTAGTGATGAGTGACAGTGTGTATTGTTACGTAAATATAGGCTGGAGTGACCAGTGACGAGTTGAAACACTATATATTTACACAATGGTGGGGTCGACTTGCTATGTCACATATCTGACAATAATATTATACAGCACCATTGGTGATCACCTTAGATATGCATTATACTAAGTAGATAATAGATGCAAACAAAAACTAGATTGAAATGAATGACTGGGTAGTTTACACCATACCATCGATAGACTCCATTCAGGCGGCTTATTTCAGGACAAAACAACATTAGATAAGACTGTGGTGTAAATGTTACTATCGTGTGAGCCCCTGTGTACCTGTGTTACTATCGTGTNAGTTTCATCGAAAGTCAAGATTCCAAAGCTTGATGAAAGCTGTCTTGGTGTCACATACCACAACAACAATTTCACTGTCGGTACAACAGAATCACTTTATAGTGTACCAGAAAGCGGTGGTAAACCTAAACAACTTCTCACATTTAAATCACAATGTTTGCACCTCGCAAGCAATCAGAAGAATGGACACGTTTTTGCTAGTATCCATACCTCTACCCCAGACGAGGTGGCCGTGATCCGACTGTCTGACGAAACACACACAGATGTACTAAAGGTCGGGCTGGTTAAAAGTACAACAGGAATAGACGTGGACAGGGAGGGCAATTTGTATGTTTGTGGAAGTAGTTCAAACAACGTCTTACAGATGTCTGGGGATGGAAGAAACATCAGGGAACTGCTGACGTCATCAGATGGAATCAAACGACCGAGGGCCATTTCTGTGTGGGAGGATAGGATAGTGATCACAAACGGATCGAAATACCAAAGTAATTTTGTACACATGTTCCAGCTCGTCTGGAAGATAGGACATCCCGATAAAGTATAGACCGGTGATATATAGGATAA